CGTTTCACGTCTCGCTTTTGAAACCCTTGCTATGTAACCGGTTCTCTCGTCCCCTCGGGCGGCCCGTTTCCCCTCGAGCTGTCTCTGACGACGTGTACGAGGTGGCTACCCTTCTCGACTCTCGTGTTTCTAGGGGTCGGCTGCAATATTTGGTGGACTGGAAGGGGTACGGCCCTGAGGAGCGGTCCTGGGTTTCAAGCTCCGATGTGCACGCTCCCTCTTTGGTCCGCTCCTTTCATGCCCGCTTTCCTTTGAAGCCTTCCGCTTCCCGCCCCCTGGGTGGTCTTCGAGGGGGGGGTAATGTCAGGCTCCCGCGGGCGGCTGCGAGAGGAGGCTGCACTCCGCTCGCAGTACTCACCCTCCAGCCGTCCGCGGTCCCCTCGGCCTCGTGGGTACGGCGAGCGGCATCCTTCCAGCCTCGGATGCCGCCCGCCGTTCCCTCCACGTCCCCCAGCGGCAGCATGCATGACGCTGCACGCTGGGAGACCGCCCAGGGTTATACACGCCGGGTTCAGTCACCTGACCCGGCGTTAAAGGCAAAGTGCCACAATCACAGTGGGAGGTCCAAATATCTCCCACGTGTGATTGTTAATTCTGATTGGAAATCATCCAATCAGAATTAACCTGATGGTTTAAATACTTACCTTTCCTGTTCCTCCTTGCCGTGTTGTGGTCTTTGCTTGTTAGTATTGATTCTGAACTTGTGCTTCTGGTTACGTACTCTCTGGCTTGTTATCCGACTCTGTGACTTTCTCCTACCCTTTGACCTCGGCTTGTTTCACGTTACTCTGTCTTCTGGTTCCCCTTACTCGGCTTGTTCCTGACTATTCTTTGTGTGCTTAGCCCGGCCACTCTAAGGTCCGGTACGGCACTTTGTGTGTGTGTGTGTGTGTTGGCGTGTCTGGTTCCCCGAATCGTGACAATTACATTGTCTGCCTACCTTTAAGTCATCAGAAATAATCACCCCTAAATCCCTTTCCTCATATGTTGAGGTTAGAACTCTATCAAATATTCTGTACTCTGCCCTTGGGTTTTTACGTCCAAGATGCATTATCTTGCACTTATCACATTAAATGTCAGTTGCCACAATTCTGACCATTTTTCTAGTTTACCTAAATCATTTGTCATTTGGCTTATCCCTCCTGGAACATCAGCCCTGTTACATATCTTAGTATCATCAGCAAAAAGACATACCTTACCATCAAGACCTTCTGCAATATCACTAATAAAAATATTAAAGAGAATGGGTCCAAGTACAGATCCCTGAGGTACCCCACTGGTGACAAGTCCAAACTTCGAATATATTCCATTAACTACAACCCTCTGTTGCCTGTCACTCAGCCACTGCCTTACCCATTCAACAATATTGGAATTCAAACTTAAAGATTGCAGTTTATTGATAAGCCTTCTATGTGCAACAGTGTCAAAAGCCTTGCTGAAATCTAGGTAAGCAATGTCTACTGCACCACCCTGATCTATAATTTTAGTTACCCAATCAAAAAAATCAATAAGATTAGTTTGGCATGATCTCCCTGAAGTAAACCCATGTTGTCTCTGATCTTGAAATCCATGTGTTTTTAGATGTTCATCAATCCTATCCTTTAACATGGCTTCCATCACTTTTCCCACTACTGAAGTAAGGCTTACTGGCCTATAGTTGCCCAACTCCTCCCTATTACCTTTCTTGTAAATGGGCACAACATTCGCTAACTTCCAATCTTCTGGGACTACTCCTGTTAACAATGATTGGTTAAATAAATATGTTAATGGTTTTGCTAGTACACCACTAAGCTCTTTTAATAGCTTTGGGTGTATTCCATCAGGTCTCATTGACTTATTTGTCTTTACTTTTGACAGTTGAAATAGAACCTCTTCCTCTGTAAACTCACGTGTAATAAATGACTCATTTATCCTTTTTCTCAACTGGGGTCCCTTTCCTTCATTTTCTTCTGTAAATACAGAACAAAAATATTCATTGAGGCAGTCAGCCTGACCTTTATCCTCTTCTACATACCTTCCTTCTTTTGTTTTAATCTAACTAATCCTTGTTTTACTTTTCTTTTCTCATTTATGTATCTAAAAAATGTTTTATCCCCCTTTTTACTGACTGTGCTATTTTCTCTTCTGTGTGTGATTTGGAAGCTCTTATAACTTGCTTAGCCTCTTTCTGCCTAATCTTATAGATCATTTTGTCTCCCTCACTCTGGTTTTTTTTATAATTCCTAAATGCTAACTTTTAGTTTTTAACTATTTTGGCCACATCTGCGGAGTACCACAGTGGTTTCTTGAATTTTTGCTTTTACTGACAAGCCTAATGCAATTTTCTGTTGCCTTCAATAGTGCAACTTTTAAATAATCCCATTTTTCTTGGACTCCATTTAAATTGCTCCAGTCTGATAATGACTCCTCTACCCGTATTCTAATTTTAGAAAAGTCTGTTTTTCTAAAGTCTAAAACTTTTGTTTTTGTGTGGTGTGACTCAGTCACTGTTCTTATATTAAACCACACTGACTGACTGATCACTGGATCCTAAACTTTCACCTACAGTAACATCTGATACCAAATCTCCATTTGTTAACACTAAATCTAGTATGGCCTCTTTACGAGTTGGCTCCTCAACAACTTGTTTTAGAGACAATCCCAGTAGGGAGTTTAGAATATGTGTGCTCCTGGCAGAAGTAGCTAATTTTGTTTCCAATTTACATCAGGAAGATTAACGTCACCCATGATGATAACTTCCCCTTCATTGTCATTTTAGCTATTTCCTCAACTAGTAGATTATCTAACTCTTCAATTTGTCCTGGGGGCCTATAAATCACACCTACACGAGTTACTGTGTGATTACCAAATTCTAGCGTAGCCCAAACGGACTCTATGTTTGCCTCACTAACTTTTATTAGGCTAGATTTTATACTATCCTTCACATACAAGGCCACCCCTCCCCCTTTCTTGCCTTCCCTATCTTTCCTATATAAAGAGTACCCTGGTATTGCTATGTCCCAGTCATTTTTCTCATTGTACCATGTCTCAGTAACAGCGACTAAATCTACACGATCAGTTGCCATTATTGCCACAAGTTCATGGATCTTATTCCCTAAACTGCGAGCATTTGTAGACATGACTCTAAGCTTATCATTTTTTTAACACACTTGCTACAGGCACCTTCTGTTCTTTCTGGTGGGCAATTGGATTGATGTTTTAGCACCCTTTTGCCCCCCCTTCCTAGTTTAAATAATTCCTAACAAAACCTCTGAACTGCTCACTGAGAACATTTGTTCCCTTTTGAGAAAGATGCAAACCATCTTTTTTGTACAGTTTATTTCCATTCCAAACAGAGCTACCATGAGAAACAAAGCCAAATCCTTGCTCCCAACACCATTCACCCAAGCCACAAGTTAAAATTCTATCGCATCCATATAATGGATTTCTACCAAGGTGTTATGCACAGGCAGAACTTCAGAGAATGACAGTGTGGAAGCAACCTGCCGTATATCATTGGCAAAAACACTAAAAACTTCCTTAACCTCTGAAACCTCATTGCAACAGTGCGGGTAGACACATCCTCCGGCTTCACTAGGTGTTTTTGGATCAAAGTGATGGTAGCCCCGGTGTCTCTTAGGCCTTGTGCTGTTTGTCCATTCACCTTAACCTCCTGTCGGTGATGTTGTCGATTGTCTGGGGAAGCAGCTTGTATGGGGTCTGCTTCATACAAAATCCCCAGACATTCTTCAGGGCCCATTTCGGCTTCCAGACAGTGAGCTGCAGCGGGTCGTGCTGCAGGGGCCTCGGTGCTGGGAGTTGTACGCCTCCAGTTGTTGTTACTGGATCTTAGGGGACAATACCGGGCAATATGTCCGAGGTTGCTGCAGTGATGGCACGTCACCTTTGACAAATCCCGGGGGTAGTTAGTAGGCCCCTGAGGCCGGGGTGGTCCTGGTGGGACTGGAGCTCGAAATTCTGGGCGTGAGACAGCGGCTGGGGCACGTGGCTCTATTTTATGAGCTTGTCGTGTAGTACCCTGGCTTACTTTCCTTGTTTCGGCATATTCGTCGGCCAGCCGAGCCGCCTCCTTTAAATTGGCGGGGCGCCGATCTCGTACCCAGTCTTGTATGTCCGCCGCCAAATCTTGGAAGAAATGTTCTATTAAGAACAACTGTAACACCTCCTCACCCGTGTGGGCTTTGCACCCTTGGACCCAGTGAGATGCTACTCTCTGTAGTCGGTTTGCCCATTCCATGTGGGAGTCCACAGCTTTCTTTTTGGACTCCCGAAAGCGACGACGGTAGGCTTCTGGGGTTACCGCATACCTGGTGAGCAGTGCCTCTTTTACTTTTTGGTACTGTGTGATTTCCTCTGTAGTGAGTGCTCGGAAAGCCTCATTAGCTTTCCCTGACAGTTTTCCCGCCAGGATGGTGACCCATTGCTCTGGCGGTATGTGATGTAGTGAGCACTGTCTTTCAAAGTCAGCCAAATATCCATCAATTTCCTCGTCATTTTCTACAAAGGCTTTAAATGCAGTAAAGGGAATTTTCGTTACCGTAGTAGTGGGTAGCGGGGTAGGAACTGTCTGGGTAGTGAGCTGTCGGGCTCTTACCAGTTCCGTTTCTTGTTCCCTCTTGGTTTGTATTTCTTCCCTTGCTTCCCGGAACAGTTGGGTTATTAGTTCTGTAGATGTGACTGGATACAAAGCTAATCTCCGCTGCACAATTGCAGTAATCACATCGTCCTCACTGATGGGTGCCATGGGTTCAGTTACCTCCATGGACCTGTCCATCTCGTCCAGCTCCAGCAAGTCAGCTATCAGCTCCCTCCGTGGTCTGTTGCTGGCACTCCTACCACGATTCTCCAACAGATCCTTTAGTGTGGGTCTTTTCAGCTTCGCATACTGTGACTCCATTCAGTGCTTGCTTGTTGGATAAAAGGACCATCCCACCGCTGCCACCAATGTAGCGGCTACCCTGGTAGAGAGAGGGTATCGGCCGTTGGAGACGTCCTTTTTCCCTGCAAGCTGCTGGGGAGAAGTAAGCTGGTATAATCCCATTCACGATATCCAGAGTAAAAGTCAGGTTCAGCTGTAGCAGGAGCAGAATAACATTCCCAAATAATCCCCTTCCAAGAGCGAGACAAGGCTACGTTTTGCAGGGTCAAGAAGATCTGAGGTCTGGGAGAACCAGCCTGCTTTTTATTAGGAACAAGTACACACAGGACACTCCCAGGGGGAGGATGAAAATAACCAATTACACACAGGGTAACACCCCCACGTCTCCTCCCCTCAGATAAACACATAACATAATTATAACGTACATAAATTTACCCACATTCTGGATGTACCCCCAAAACAGGGGGTACACCTTTAAGTCCAGCACCGCTTAATAGCTACCACTTAGGGGAATAACATATTCAAATTTCAAGTCATTCGGTTGTGGGGTTCGGGAGTTATGGGTCTTTGAAGTTTTGACCGACCGCACAGGATTTTCAGCCGAAAAGAGTTCCACAAGTTTTGGCCTTGCGGTCGGTCCCCGTTCGTGAATAAAAACCCCACGAACCCCTTGCCCTCCACAGTAATCCTGCCGTTCGCCTGAATCCCCATGCATGCTTAAACAAAACTACCGAACGGCCGGTCGTTCGGTAGTTCCAGCACGAACTTACGAGCTCCTGGAGGTCTCAGCGGCGTTCGCCTGTTTGCGCATCCGTTTTTAGTTCCATGAGTTCACAGGCAAACACCGCCGTTCGTGCGTAAGATGGCCGCGAACACGTGTAAAGTCCCGAAATGGCGGCCACCTATTTTCAGACAAAGGGATTCGTCTGAACCAGGCGAACGGCTGTATTCTCCAGTAATGGTATTCCCTTGCAATAATTTCGCCATTTTCACTGTTTTAGTCCACAGGGCTTTGGTGCTGGTGAAGTCCTGTTACAATTACACTTGCAGGGTTAAAGGACCACTATAGTGCCAGGAAAACATACTCGTTTTCCTGGCACTATAGTGCCCTGAGGGTGCCCCCACCCTCAGGGACCCCCTCCCGCCCGACTCTGGAAGGGGGAAAGGGGTAAAAACTTACCTTTTTCCAGCGCTGGGCGGAGAGCTCTCCTCCTTCTCTCCTCCTCCGTTACGCCCCGCCGGCTGAATGCGCACGCGCGGCAAGAGCTGCGCGCGCATTCAGCCGGTCTCATAGGAAAGCATTTACAATGCTTTCCTATGAACGCTGGCGTGCTCTCACTGTGAAAATCACAGTGAGAAGCACGCAAGCGCCTCTAGTGGCTGTCAATGAGACAGCCACTAGAGGCTTTGGGGGAAGGCTTAACCCATTCATAATTATAGCAGTTTCTCTGAAACTGCTATAGTCAAATGGGTTAACCCTAGAAGGACCTGGCACCCAGACCACTTCATTAAGCTGAAGTGGTCTGGGTGCCTAGAGTGGTCCTTTAAGAGTAGTGGGAGATGGCACCCAGACCACTCCAATGGGCAGAAGTGGTCTGGGTGCCTGGAGTGTCCCTTTAATGAGTTTTGCTTATCCAATCAGTTTACTATCTCTATGGGAACATGTTTGTCTTTGTTTTCATATACAGTTTGAAACCGCCAAGAATCTACAAAATATTAAGACTGGTGTAGTAGTCTGGCTAATCAGTGCATGGTGCCGTCTCACTGTATTGGTTGATGAGGGCAAAGCCTTTTTTTCTATGTTAAAGGGACACTGTAGGCACACAGACCACTTCAGCTCATTGAGCTGGTGTGGGTGCTGTCCCTTTTGCACCTGGTACTGCAGTGTTTACATTGCAGCCTTAAGTCTGCCCTCAGTGGTCTACCAGATTGCCACTGGGGACGCTTCCGGAATCTTAACAGACTTTTGGTCTGTTGTCTGATGCTGAACCTCCTCATGCTTTGCATTAAGACCTTCAGTGTCAGAACTATTTATTTTTTTCCCCCTATGGAGATTGACATCGGCACTGGGATAAGGTATGTTTTTAACACTTTATTTACCGGGGAGGCAGAGAGATTGAAAGTACCAGGAATACAGTTGTATTGCTGGCACTAGAGTATCCCTTTAACCGCTTAAGGACAGTGGGTGTGCTATGCCGCACTCAGGGACCTGGCTCTAAACGCCGACGGGTGGCATAGCCCATCCCTGGCATCCGATGAACTTACCTGCTCAGCGCTAATCACAGTGGGGGGGGGACTTACTGCTGGGCCAGGTGATCGCGAGGACCTCACGATCACATGGATGGAATAGCTATCCACAGCAGGGGGCGTGCCTGGAATGACAGGTAGTCCCCCTGCTGCTTCTTAAAATTAAAGTTTATAATGAATCTAAGTTTATATAGAATATACACTAAGTGTATTTTAATCTTAAAGGATTACTTTAGTGTCAGGAACAGAAACCTGTATTCCTGACCCTATAGTGTTAAAACCACCATCTAGACTCCTTGCGCCCCTCATGCCTCCATAAATATAGCAAAATCTTACTATATTCAAGCCTGAAACTGTAGCTCTGCATGCTGTTAGACTCAGAAAAACTAACAGTCTGCTGACATCATCAGAAGTGGTAACCTGATCCAATCACAATGCTTCCCCATAGGATTGGCTGAGACTGAAAAGGAGGCAGATCAGGGGCAGAGCCAGCACAATTCAAACACAGCCCTGGCCAATCGGCATCTCCTCATAGAGATGAATTGAATCAATGAATCTCTATGAGGAAAGTTAAGTGTCTGCATGCAGAGGGAGGAGATACTGAATGTTTGGATGCATTTTAGGCAGCCATGACCCAGGAAGGATCTCTAACAGCCATCTGAGGAGTGGCCAGTGAAGTTATCCCTAGGCTGTAATGTAAACACTACCTTTTCTCTGAAAAGACAGTGTTTACAGCAAAAAGCCTGAAGGTAATGATTCTACTCACCAAAACAAATTCAATAAGCTGTTGTAGTTCTGGTGACTATAGTGTCCCTTTATTAACGCCGTTACGGCGTTCTATGCCGATCCGCATTAAAAGGGCTTTAAAGCCGTTGCGGCGGCATAGAACGACGTAACGGCTTGCAGCCCCTGGTGGTCCGGTGGACTTAACTCCGCTGCGATCCTCTTCTGGAGGGCTGCCTGACAGCCCAGGCAGCCCTACCCCGGCAAATGTGTCCCCCTATAGCTGGCTGTGGATCTGCCAGCAGGGGGACTGTTTGAGCTCTCAGACAGTCCCCCTGCTGGTGGGAAGAAGAATAAAATATAATTAGACGTATTAAATTAGAAATATGTGTGTGTGTATATATATGTAACGTCATACATAGTGTATTTTATTAATATAAGTACATATATTATTAAAATACACTTAGAATGATATATACGTATAATTACAATAATAAATAAAATATTGAAACAAAATTTAATATAAATTATATATTCATATGTAATTTCATTCTAACTGTATTTTGTTATTAATATATTTATATATATGTAACAAAATACACTTAGAATGACATTCTATATAAAAAAAATCTATCTGTATATAAAATACAAATAACCGCAAATATATATAGATAAAAACATAATTACATTAAAGATTACATTAGTATACACGTAGAATTTAAATACCTATAAATGCATATATATTAAAATTCTACATGTATATTTAAGTAATCTTTTAACATAATTATGTGATCTGATTAATTAAAATTTGATTGACATGCCTGACAACACAGGGAGAAAGTGCAGAGAATTTAATTCGCAAGCACTATATTTGATCCTGTAATTCTCCAAGACACCCTAAAACCTGTACATAGGGGGTACTGTTTTACTCAGGAGACTTAGCTGAACTCAAATATTAGTGTTTCAAACTGGTAAATTGTATTAAAACGATGATATTTTAAGTAAAAGTGATGTTTTTTGCATTTTTTACAAACGAACTGCACTTTTATGGACTATATTATTGTTGTAATATGTTTTACTGTTTTAAAACACTAATATCTGTGTTTAGTGAAGTCTCCCGAGAATAACAATACCCCCCATGTACAGGTTTTATGGTGTTTTGGAAGGTTAGAGAGTCACATATAAGGCTTGCATTTCATTTTTTTGACATTGAAATTTGCCAGTTTGGTTATGTTGCCTTTGAGAGCATATAGTAGCCCAGGAATGAGAATTACCCCCATGATGGCATACCATTTGCAAAAGTAGACAACCCAAGGTATTGCAAGTGGGTATGTCCAGTCTTTCTTAGTAGCCACTTAGTCACAAACACTGGCCAAATATTAGTTTTTTGCTTTTTTCACACAAAAACAAATATGAACGCTAACTTTGGCCAGTGTTTGTGACTAAGTGGCTACTAAAAAGACTAAACATACCCCACTTTCAATACCTTGGGTTGTCTACTTTTTCAAATGGTATGCCATTATGGGGGTAATTCTCATTCCTGGGCTACCACACCGTCTCAAAGGTAACATTACTAATCTGGCAAATTTCAATTTGAAAATGGAACGTTCTATATTTGACCCTGTAACTTTCCAAAACACCATAAAACATGTTAATGGGGGTACTGTTGGACTCGTGAGACATCGCTGATTACAAATATGGGCATTTTTTTTGCAGTAAACAGTATTATGACATTAACAGCTAATATGTCAGACGGAAATACAAATTTTAAAAAAAAAATCTTATTTTTTCACATTTTTTAAAATTTTATTCATAATAAATTATGTTCCATATATGAATAGTTAATGATAAATTAAAGCCCTGTTTCTCCTGAATAAAATGATATATAATAAGTGTGGGTGCATTTAATATGAAAGACGTGAATTCCAGTTGATGTTTACGTTTTGTTTTGATCAGAACGTGCACTATTCACCCCATCCTGAAGGGGTTAACCCCTTAAGACTGGAGGGCGTACTATTACGCCCTATTTTAGGCGTCTCTAAACGTAATAGTACGCCCTCCGGTCTTTCCTTACTTACCCGGTCGCCGGCGATCGCGGTGGGGGGGACTCCCAAGGAGCCCCCCCGCGGCAGATCCTCCTCCTCCGGTGCCCCCCGGCCATGTGAGAGTGATGTCCTTGCGAGGACCTCACAATCACATGGCCGAGATAGCTGCCTCCTGTATTGCCAGCAGGGGGGCTGCCTGTAATGACAGGTGGTCCCCCTGCTGGCTAAAAATAAATAAAAGTAAAAAGTGTAAAAAAAAATAATAATATATACTTAGATCATATATATATATTTATATATATATATATATATGATCTAAGTATATATATATATATATATATATATACACACACACATACATACACACACGTACACAGTCTAGGTGTATTTTACTATTAATATTGTGGTGGAATCTCGGTAAAAATAAATTTAGTAGGCCGAGATTACCACGTGGCATGTGTACGTGCATATGCTGACGTATCGATCAGTTGGTTGCACGAGGCAAGATACCATCAGTAGTGTACGGAGCATGTGCAAGAATACAGGATGTAGTATTCCCCTCCTCCATTGTGCTGGACAAGCCATGCGGTCAAGCAGGAAGTTAATTCTTATTTGTAATGATTGGTCAAGAGAATGTGCGGGTGGAGCTTAATATGGGAGGAGTTTAATATGGGAGGAGTTATGTGCCTATATAGGGAGCCTGCACTATTGTTCAGGGCTCAGAACTTGCTGTATTTTTGGTGACATTAGTCCCTCTGAGTCCCGATCGGTGATCCAATAAAGAATCTCTTCCTTCCTGAAGAAAACTGTGTCCATCCCTCTGTGCTTTGCTTCCGTCAGTTTCTCCGGTATCATTTGGTGCATTGGCCGGGAAGCTCATCGTTCAACGGTAGCTGAGAGGCAGAGGCGTGAGACGGTCTATCTTTGCCCACGCTCTCTACGGCTGCACCCCTGAACTTCTGCGTGGACCTCCCTTCGTCTCGGCGCCACTGGTCTGTTGTCCAGGAGATCATCGGCCTCTACGTAAGAAGTGCTGGGGTGTCCCCGTCGATGAGTGTGAACCTAGGTTCAGGAACGAGGAGGTAAGACAACTGCTGTTTTAGACGGCAGACCCACTAGGGGTATACCGATTGTGCGGTAGGCCCAAAAGGGGTTTAAATCTGTGTATGGAATCTGCACCCTCTGTCGGAGGGAAGGAGCGAAGGCGCACCGCTCGATCGAACGCTCTTTAGTAAGACCGTTTGATCTGGTTAGTCAGGCGGGGTCCTGTGTAAATAGCCCTAGCCGGACACCGGTGTCTTGTCTAGACTAGCGCTCTAGGGTGTATATTACGTTCGCTAGGTCGGAGGGACCGGGAGACTAAGCGGCGCCTGTGTAAATTCGGTTCGCTAGCTCTCAACCTATCTTGGCTAAGTGGGAAGGCGTGTAAATTTGGAACCCACTAGACTTTTGATAGAGTAAATAGACTAGAAGGGCAATTTTGTAAATTCCGCCCTCTAGTTCGCTATATATGTGGTGCTTGGGCAGTGTGGCTAACCAAAACGGGTGTATATAGTTTTAGGTAGTCCATTCAAGGTACTGGCCAATAGTTTAGTTGGGATTGTAAATGTGTTAAAGATTGTTAGTAAAGTGTATATCTTGTTAGATAGTGCGAGCTCAGCCGTCTAGCGAGAGTGTTAATAGTGTGTTGCTGTATCATAGTGCACGGTACCATAACCCTGTATATTTACTGACACTGTATATAAGTACTAATCATTGTCGCCTATTGCATGTTTAACACCGTAACCACTAATAATTGTATTGTGACCTTAAATTGTGCTTTGACCTATGCTAACCGTACTGTAACCGATACTAGTAAAAGACGATGTTACTGGGGTGTGTTATAGACGGGTAATTCATATATAGAGAATTATAGCGTGGGTGACTGTATAGTCTCGCCAAAGGGCATAATATTGATTATTTAGTGACTGGTGTAACAGCTGTGTGTGTACGGGAATTCCCTGAGTGATTATTGTGTTATTGTGTACGTTTCACTCGGTAACTGTACCACGTGGTGCTGTTGCCAGAGGAAACGGGTGTGACCGTTGAATAAGAACGCGTGCATAGTATTCGTTGTCAACGACGTTCCATTGATAAGTATGGGCGCGTCAGAGTCAACGATTTCGGATCCCTTAGGTTGTATGGTAAAGAATTTTAAAAGGGATTCAAAACATGTGATTTTGGGGTTAAAATGTCTCCTGTACGTTTGGTCACTTTGTGCACTAGGGAGTGGCCTACTTTGGTTGCGCATGGCCGCCGCGTGGCAGTTTGGATCCAACCCTGGTACAGCGTGTACACGTGGCTGTATCAGGTAGGCCTGAACTTTACGGACAGTTTCCATACATTGATTGTTGGAGGCAGGCCGTAAACGACTCGCCAAAATGGATCCGGATATGCCACATGTCGCCTCATGGTGGCCAGGACTTGTTTGTCCACTAGGACTGGTGTTAGGCCCATTTTGGACACGCCCCCTGAGTCCGAGATCCCTTTGCCGCCCCCTTACTTTCTTTTAAGAGGAAGTGACGCGAATGCAGGAAGTTCTGCACCCTTCCCCTATTGCCCCCATCCACTTCCGCTTCCTCCTCCAGTACAGAATCCACCCCCCCTCGTATTAAAACTCCCCTTCCGGAACCAGGACCAACCCCCATTAGATCTGAATATCCTGATTTGGCGCCACTTCAAACTTCCGGTCAAGCTTCTTCTAGCTCGCCTCGGAGTATACTATTCACTAACTTTTCCCAAAATCAAGTTCCCACATCCTCATGCCCTATTACCTCTCGACCGGAACCTTTAACTGACGCCCCTCCACGTAGCCCCATACTAACCCGACAACTGACCGGTACCCAACAATTAAAACATTATCAGATGCCTCTTCGCCTGAAT